TTATTATTATTATTATTATTATTATTATTATTATTATTATTATTATTTTGTAACAGTCACGTGTTTAGATTGGATTTGGCATTTTTATCCACCTATCAAGTCCTTTCCAAGGACCTCGGCTAGGCAGATGGTCTTGTTTGATGGCGTTAAAGGTATTATGGTTCACTGCCAGATGTTTTTGTTAGCCATTTTTATTCACCTTCAGTCCTTCCCAAGGCTTGGATTAGAGAGATGTTATTATTTGATGGCATTTAACATACAGTATCATTATAGTGTGTCAGTTGTTCCAACTAATTCCTTTTGCAATTGACTGACAGTGATTTTGTCAATGCTGATGGTGCTCAAGTGATGCTCCAGAAGTTTTGAGGTTGCACCCAAGGAGCCTATAACTACTGATACTATCTTTGCTTTCTTTTGTCACAATCATTCTATTTCTATTTGCAGGTCATTGTATTTGTGATCTTCTCCCGTTCTTTCTCTTCTATTCTGCTGTCTCCAGGTACTGCCACATCTACTATCCAGACTTTTCTGTCCTTCTTATTGACAATTGTTAAGTCTGGGGTGTTATGTGGCAGGTGCTTGAATGCTAAATTCCCAGGATATGTCACATCTTCATTTTCTATTACTTTCATTATTTTATGGTTCCACCAGTTCTTCCTTGCAGATAAATGGGATTTCTTGCAAATATTTGAACACACAGTTGTTGCTACTTTGTCATGCCATTTTTAATAGTCAGTCTGTGCAATCTTTTTGTAGCAGCTAATTAAGAGTCCATTGTTTCTTCAGCTTCTTTGCAAAGATGGCTTTTGCTGTCTGTTGCTGTCTTTTCCAATTCTGGCTTTGTATGCATTTGTTCTTAAGGCTTGCTCTTGTGCAGCCACTATTAGCCTCTCTAGCTCTTTCTTCAACTTTCCTGCTCTTAGCCATTGCCAGGTCTTGTTATTTATTTTTTTCCTGCTTTTTTAAAAAATGTACTGGCCGTGTAAAATTTTGCCTTGCCATGTGTCTTTCCTATTCTGCATTGGGTCTTTTTTTAAGGCCAGTTTGGTCTCTCCACAATTCAGTAAAGCTGCATTACTGAGTATGCTAGCTTTAATATATCAACTTCACTGTCCTTCAGATATTCTTTCAATGCCCTTTTTTTTTCAACTGTCTGGTGTGCTTGCAACATTATTCACCTATTTTCCTTGCATAATTCATTGTCATTATTTTTGGGGTCTTTCTATTCAGGGCTTGTAGTTCTGCTTGATTCCATTCTACTACTTCAACTGTACATCTGATGACTGGAATTACCCAGGTTAGTTAATTGTCTTGATATTTCCTGTATTCATTTCTAACCTCCTTCTTGATTAGTCTGTATGATGTTGTCAGCTTAAAGGATGCCCAGGGGTAGTGATCATCTTCATCCAGTCTCTTGATATTATTTCTATAGGATATCTTGATTTGCTCAGTTTTTTACTATTTTTCCTCCATTATAACTGGCTGCAACCAGATGTTCATGCTGAATTTAGCATTTTCATCCACCTATTATTAAAACTGCTCTCCTCAGGCTGTTGTTGCTTTTCTAAACGCCAGAGTCAATCTTATTTTTTTCAGAATTGTTAGCAATATTAGCCAATTTTTAATTTAAAAAAATAGAAGCCAGACAAATGTCACTGTCTGAGAATGAAATTAAACATTATAAGGATTGCATACATGTATCAACATCTTTAGTCTCCTTTTTGTCTCAGCACGGTATATCTTGTGAATACAAAAAGATAACAAGATGATATCATTTTACCACATTCCCCAGGTGATAGGAGGAAAGTTGACAATGAAGTTTAACTTTTTAGGTTTTAAATAATCTCCAGCTGCAAGAAAATACCTCTGCCCTAAGTATTTTAATCCAAGTCTAGAACCGTTTTATATTGTTTTTTATTTTAAATTCTAGCTTGGACTCACCAATTTTGATTTTTCTAAATTCTTCTTCATCCCACTGTTTTTCCTTTTCAATGACACAGTCACGAAGCCGTTCACTAAGAAAATCCAGCATCTTTCGCCGAAACGCATATGCATCCCTCTCCATTGGTGAGAGAGAATGGAGGGGAATATGCAACAGTCTTTTATCCTACAATACATAAGCATTATTTTGAGTATGTAACTAGGAAATGTGCACAAAAATTATAGATGGCAATAGCACCTAAACTTACATACTTCATACTGCTTTACATTTACAGCCTTCTCTAAGCAGTTTACATAGTCAGCATATTGCCCCCAACAATTCGGGTCTTCATTTTTACGGATGTCAGAAGGATGGAAGGTTGAGTCAGCCTTGAGCCAATAGGAATCAAATTGCTGCCAGTCAGCAGAATTAGCCTGCAATTGCATTCTAACAACTCTGACATTACAACTCATATGGTCAGGTAATCCAACCATGGCAGCATCCATATATTCACATAATTGTGTTCTGGGAGCTAGGCACCCACATGTGATTATGGCTTTGCAGCAAGTTGCAGTCATACAATTGTGATTTCTGATGCTCCTTGCCAGTTTCCCATAAGCAAAATTTATAATCTGTTTCTGATAAAAATATGCCTTTAACAGAGATTGATAATATTGTTTCCTATAATGTAACAATATATTACCGTGTTTCTCCAACAATACGGCCTCCCCCAATAGGAAGTCCCAGCATGTTTTATCAGCATAAAATCAAATTAAGTCCCTCCCCTCAAATTAAGGCCTATTTTAAACATGCAAAATGGGGGGAAATGGTGGGCGGGGGCTTGCCATTAGGAAGTACTTTTGTTGCATACCCAGATATGGTTGCTTTCCCTTCTCCCCATGCTGCCGCGGCATTTAGAGCAATGCCGCGGCATTTGGCGCAGCCACGCGCAGCCAGCCAGGGCTCCTCCCTGCAACCGGAGCCCTGCAGAGACACTTGGCTTCAGGCGCTCCTGTCGCCGCCTTCTCTTTGCCTTCGAAGGTAAAGCGAATTATTTTAAAAATGACACCCTACTACAACAAAGCCTCCCCTGCCCGAGAGGGCAGCCCAACCCTACATGGGGAGGCGAATCTCCCGGGGCCACAGAGCAGGATCAGCCCAACCCGGGAGAAGTGCCCAGCCGCCATCCCTGCCTGGTGCTGGGCAGAGCGCAAAGAGCTTCTCCTGGGGCGCCCAGCACAGCTGACAGGCAGGCCCTCCTGCCCGGCGGCGTCCTCCGAGCTGAGCCCCACCGAGTCAGCGCCTCTGCCCGATGCCCATGCCGCTGCAGCGTTTCAAAACAGAGGACTGTAGATATATCATATTTTGCATTTTCAAACATGGAAAAAGATACCTGATAATATTTGAAATATGTGTAGTCCACAACTGTCCCCACTGCAGTTCTACTCTCATCAATAAGAGTAATTGGCATCAGCATATCTGCACCTGCTGCGATGAGAGTCTCAATCTAAGTAGAGAAGAAAATAAATGTAGAACATCAAGAGCTCTATGCAGCCATTTCCACCAATGTTACACACAGGCAAATCAATAGTCCAACCTGAAGGTCACTGATTTATTGCTAGCAGTTATATAGAAATAAAGCATAACTATACACATGAACCAACTTGCCTTTAGTAAGATGGATACAATTCAGTTAATGTTTACTAATGTAAAAACAAATTTGTTCATGTTTAGGTATCTTCTTCTTAAGCCATTATGTTACAATGAGAAAATGAAGTTCTGGATAATCAGATGTACAATTTAATTTGTGTTAAAACTGAACCACAACTAAACTTAATATGGGGATATAGCATTTTTTGCTTTGTGAGGTATAGATAGAGAATGAGCTTTTATATATAAATGATTATTTATGTAAGTATACTGGGAAGACAGACAGACAAATTGGAGCCATCAGTTTGTCAATGCTGTCTACTGGTCACTCTACCCCCTGGTCTCTCAGCCATCCAATATGCTGACCTCTCCTTGTAACACTAAAAATCTGTATCAGCTCTATTTCTGATTCTTTGATCCTTGGGCCTTTTACAGCCTCTTTTCTCGCTTTTCCCCCTCAATTCATGGCTTTTCCATCCTGCTTCCCCATTATAATGACTTTTATTTTATTTTACTTTTATTTTGGCAGGGGGTTAGAAAAGTTTACAATCTTTATTTGGAAAAGAGTAACCAAACATGCAAGACTTTTCTTACCAGTGCGATCTTAGCTGCTATTGTCCCAGTCTGTTCATATGCAGGATTAATAACAGCACACAAGGCACTTGCAATACTTTGGCTTAGAGGTAGATTTGGTTCAGCTCCACCAGCCAGAAGTTCAGCTACTGCCTAAAAGTAGGAGAAGGAAAAGGAATTATTTTTTAACATTTTTCTGAGTATTATTGTTTCAGAGCAGGGTATAATGCCTTGCTTGAGCAAATTTTGGGCAGGGCTAAAAATTGCTAACATAATATTTGGGATTTAAAGAGAGAAATTGGTGTCCACAAATTGGCTTCAACATTCTTAAAAACAGTGATTTCATCCATTAAAAATCACCAAAACAGGGAGTTCTACATGGTTTCAGAATAGACACAAAACTATGTTGCCTGCTTCTCCCTTTGTTCTTGTCCGTAGCTAAATATGAGGCTCACACCACAGTAAGGGACTAATTATACACGACAGGTCTTCCAAAAGTAGTGTCCTACTCTGGTGTGGTTGAAGGGTTCATAGTGAACTAGGGCAAGAATATGGTGAGAAATATCAAATCTCCCTTGTCTGCAGCCAAAGGCTAAATAAAAAAACCGCATTGCACTGAAATTGTTACGTAAATCCAATTTTTTGTATATATCATATTTTTATGGCATATACTTATGAAAGTAGAAAATCTAGGTTAGAACTTGCTGAGGAAAGGATGGCACTGTCAAGCCTTTACATAGTCCATGTTAGGAGCAAGCACGTCTTTGGCCATGGGATACATTTTTTGACTATTACTATTATCAGCCTCCATGAGTTGCATCAGAAAATAAATACACATTAAACACATACCCATATCCACACTCATATTTGTGGAAATATGCATTTGTGACATGGCATGATGAAAAACTATTTCTGAACTGAATCATTCCTCTGCATCATCTATTTGTTAAGGAATATCAAATAAATGGTATTTATTCAGTCATTCATTTCTATTTATCCATTGACATACATATGATTCAGGGTAGCATCATCCAATGCCTGAGAGAAAAGCCAGGTCTTTCAGTGCTTCCAGAAGGTAGGCAGGCTTTCCAAATTTCAGCAAAATGCTATGATATTAATTTTATTTTTATGTAATTTTATTGTATTTATACTGTTTTAATATTTTCAATAATTTTAGGTGTATGTGCTTTATGTAGGTTTTTTTTCTGGCCTAAAGGTTTATACTGTTATTGAATGTAACATAGGACATAAAATAAGTATTTTGAAATAAATAAATCTATAATCTAATTCACAATTAAAATACAAAAAACAATAGTTAAAAATAATTTGACATTTGTGTGGCACTGTCAATTGTCAAATGGGACTGCAGGAAGAAGAATTCAACTTCCTCCTACCCATGGAGAGACCGGATTGAAAATGGATCCTCTAACATCACCAATTTCCTAAATGAAAAAATAGGCAAACTAACAAACAAAATTCCCATTAATGTGAACATTACTATGTATAGATAGCATAACTGTAAACTGTTGTTATTTTCTGTTGATCTCTCAAACTCTTAAAGGAACTTTAATAGTAATTTAAAAATCCAAATCAAGAGACTTATAGCTCTTACTTATAGTGTTGACTATCAATAATTGGAACCATATAGCTGATCAGTATCAACACATCTCAAAATATATGTATTTATATAATTAAATATATATATATTTGTTTTCGTAGATTTTCACGGGTACAGGTATGCAGGCCTTGGTGTGTTCGGATCTTACACGGGTAAACACTCGAACACGCCAAGACCAACAAATATATATATATAACTTTCCGTATGCTTCAAGGCATTTTTATTGTCTATTTTATGCTCTAGCACCATTGTATATATTACCTACAAATGTTGATTGGAATCATTGTTCTGACTTTGCCACAATTAAAATGATTTTGAAATAATGCTTACAAATGTCATTAAAAATGCTTGGAAAGACAGAATCTTGCACACCTGTTCATTTCCACAAGCAACTGCTAGGGAAAGAGGGGAATGGCCATTCCACAGGACATTTGGATTTGCATTGTGATCTAACAGATGTTGAATAACTTTGCCAGTATTCTGATGGGGAGAATAAAACAAAAAACAGATCAGTACAGATACTGTTTTTTTAATTAAAATAAAGAGTAAGGACACATTTATACAAGATATTTAAGTTAAGGCACATTTTTAAATTTAAAGCAAAAATATTACACCTATTTTATCCTTAAGAAAAAAAAGCTGAAGCTGGTTCCAAATTGGACAGTTACTTATGTCCATGCATATAAACATATTCAGATCAGAATAAAATATCACAAATTAAGGAACTGGTGCAATGAATACAAAGTCACAACAGTAAACAATATATTTTTATGGAAATTTAGGAATGCTGTCATCATTTAGTCATCCAGTCACCTCCAATTCTTTGTACCCTGATGGACCTCACTCTGTCAGTATTGCTTACTTCTCTGAGTTCTTGTCAGCTCATGCTTGTGTTGTCAGCGGTTTCAAACCATTTTGTCTTCTGTTGGCCTTCCAATGTAGAACTTATCCTGCCTATGGTTCATGCACTTTAATAGAAGAAACAACCTGTTCTCTTTACATACACAGATTTTCTTTCCCTATTATAATGAGTAGGTCATTCCAAGAACACTTATGTGATCAAAATCAGACTGACACAGAAAAGGCTACCTGAAAGAAACTGTAGAGGTTTTCCACCAAAATAGTTCACCTTTAAAATGAGAGATTTGTTTTACATTTCCTCACAATATAACTATCACCTTTTCTTTTTTGATAGAGGGGTTGTTTTAAATATAGAATTGGCTTACTTTAACATGTGAGAACAATAAGTTGCAATCTAATATTTTGGAAAAGACAGGACTTGTTTTGCTCCTAATTTCATTCATTAATCTATTATAGCCAAATTTGTAACCTGCTACAATTATACATACACTTTTCCTCATCTTTGCCTTTTGTTTTCTTTCGCTTATACACTCCACAGTATTCTTTCTTTTCCTTTAAATAATTCAATAAAAGTTATGCAAATTATTACAACAGTTGCAGTTAAAGCAAGAGGAAGACATATTTTTGTTATCTTTTAAAGTCAATAGTGTCTTCTGAAAAAGCTAGGCTCATAAACTGGAGTGCTCAGCCCTTGGAAAAAGAAGTTCCCCTTTTCAGGAACAAAAAGAATTGCTCCATCCTATTCAACAAAACCAATCTGGGGCAGAGAATTTTCAGCAAGATAACCACTTGCAGAGGAGAAAGAGAAATGCCATATGATTATCTCCCCAATAATTTTATCTATCCCTGTGGCATGTATCTTAACCTTCACTTATTGGCATCTCAGGATCCCTGTGGACAACAAGAAGGGCAGAATATAAAAAAAGAATTAATAAAAAATAATAGAAAGGTTTGACCAAATGAATAATTTACTATAAATAACAACAGAAAAAAATTCACTAAAGAAGATAATGAAACAAACAACAACAACAAACAGCAATGGCCACCAGTAAAATAGACCAATGGTGAAGGCAATAGAACCAAGACAGAAGAATCAGCTCTTGGTGATTTTAAAATGCAATAAAACAAAACTTTGAAAGATTTAAGGCATTAAATAATATTGCTCAGAAATTTTTAAAAAGTTTATGTTCTGTTTCCTGAAAAATTCATTTCAATAAAATTACAACATATACCCTATTAGTTGTTGAGATTGTATGGATATCAAGGCAAAAAGAAATTCAAGTATCCCTTGACTTATAATCATTTCTTTAACAACCACTCAAAGTTACAAAGGTAATAAAAAAGTGCCTTATGACCAGTCCTCACACTTATTGTATATGCACATAGTCACTTGATCAAAACTTAGCCACTTGGCAACCAGCATTTATTTATTATGGTTGCAACCTCCTGGAGTCCCAAAATCATCACTGCGACCTTTCCAGGGGTTTTTCAATAAACAAGGTCAAATGGAAAGCCAGATTTGCTTAACAATGGTGGCAAAAAGGTTATAAAATCAGACACAACTCACTTAATGAACAAATCACCTAGCTATGGAAATTCTGGTCTCAACTGTGGTCATAAATCAAGGATTACCTGGAAGGCTTTTGGCATATTTATCTTTCCTAACTAAATTTTGTAGTTGGTAATCTGACTAATATAATAAACAAATATTCAATGCATCAGTTAGTTTAATTAATGACAGGGAAACTTTGTTAAGGAAATAAAGATAATGTGTTGGGCCCCAGACAGGGCTGAAAAATTGCCCTCCATGGCTCAGTTCATTATTTTTAAAACAGAGTCCTCCTAAAAACTAGCATCTGTGATAGGCTGTCAAAGAAGGTACAATTAATGTAGCACTCTGGATCTTAACCAATACTTAATATTTTTATGCAAATTATCATTAGATGAACTGAATGATTTTGTACCTAGTTAATTATAAAATGTGGGTGTCTCATAGGAATCTATGTCAGTAAATAACAGATGGTGAAGAAGCAAACCTATATTTATCTATGTATTGAGAATAGGGAGGCAAATAGGGAATTAATGAAAAAATTGAAGTGGTAGAAAGTAATCCAACTGCAGAAGTAAAAATCAAAATCCTGAATTTATACTAAAGATACATTGTATTTTGCAAATTGATATTGTTCCAGTTTTTGCTTTCCATTATGGGCTGGAAACTGAGCTGCTATAATTAGTGTTAGCAAAAAAAAACATCTAGGTTGAAATCCTATATTCCTTTACCAGGGATATAGCAAAGCACAGATTATTATAACACAGGGGTGTCCAACCTTGGCAACTTTAAGACTTGTGGACTTAATTCATTACAACCTGTTTCTACCTGTGTACACATTTGCAAAGTAAACTTTAATGGAAAGAGGCCTGATAAAATTATATTTATCTAATGGTACATGAGATGTTGGAGAATTAGATTATTTATTTTGTATTTATAAAACTGATAGTAGCAATATAAAACTGCAGGGTGAAAATCCTGTCATTCCAGGACGTAACTCTTCTGTCCCTCCAAAAATCCCTGAAAATCCAGATGTCCTTGAAATGCAACTCCCACTGGATATATTAATTATGGCTAACGGTAGATGGACTAGAGTATATTTCCATCCCTGATATATCTCTGATTTGTTGATTTAAACTGGGAATACAGTCAGGAATGGCTTCCTCTTCTATCTTATTGAAGGAGTCCTATGCTATTTTAAGAAATAGATAGGAAATCCACCCCATGTAAGAATAGTAGAAATGGAGACAATGCAGCCCTGTGGTCTGTAATACATCCTACCTTCCTTAAAGAAAAGTGATATTACAGTTCTAACATAAAACTAGCCACTGGTCATTTTAAAGTACTTTAAATTACCCATTTCCTTCTCCAAATCTTTAGATGGCCTTAGAATGAAGAGCTGTTTCTTATCACTCTTTATGCCATGCCAAATATCTGGCCTGCATAACATATAGACTACTGCTCTCTCTGTACAATACCTGAGGTACTGTTTCCTTGGTCCTTATGAATGAATAATCTGGATGCCATTATGGAAATAGGTCGATTCTCTCATGTGGCCTCCCTACTACCTCAAAGCTGCTCATTTGTTCATTCAAGAATTTTTCCAGAACAAGATGCCCAATAATTTTATTTCTGACAATGGCCCTAAATTCAGATTGTCCTTTTGCTACTATTCCATTCTTCCTGCATTAATTATTCTATACACATTTAACACTTGGGCAAAGGACTTAGACAGATGGTAAGTTAAAACTGATTACACCAGAGATCTGCATTAGATTTTAATATGCCCAGGATGTCCATTTATTTCATATGATTGAAATTCCTCAAACAATTTGAGCTCAGCCTTAAATATATATATATTTTTTATAACAAACTTTATTAATTTTTTTTAAACACACAAACAAAACATAGGATGTAGTAACATAAAATATCTTTTCTAGAAGAAACAAATAAACCATCTTATTTAAAAAGAAGATAATTCCAAATTATCACACTTTTATATATATATATTTATCTTATCTAATCAACTTCATATCTTTTCAAAACTTTTCTTTATTTCTCCCTTTCCTTCTATTTAATCATATTTCTTCTGCCTTAAAAATGTATACTCATTGAATATATTTTCATTAGTATTCTTCCACATCCTGTCAGACTTAACCAAACATTACACAAAACATAAATACATAAAACTTCTTTTTGAAAGGCGGCTTACCCCGAGTTAACTCTTTTTATACAGACATCAATCAAAATTTATACTCACTTAATATACTATCTCATATCTTATTTAACATTCTCTATTTTCCATATATTTTCTCTCTCCTACTCATTCTTTTAATTCTATTTTATTTATTCCATCTCAATTAAATAATTATATTTGCATCTTTGGTCCGTTTTCTTTCAATCACCTACTTATCCTTTCTCTCTAATACAATATTTCTCCTGTAAACCCAGATTGAAGTATGACAACTTTTTATCTTCCCCCTAAATAACACTTAAAATAATACATATTTTCCGTGCTGATTCTGCTCCGTACATTCAAAGTATTACATTTCAAAATAATAAAACAAACAAATAATATTGAGTTTGATAAGTAATAATAAAACTAAAAACAAATAAAAAGGAAATATTAAATTTATAATATAGTAAAAACAATGTTTCATAGGAAATTAAATTCTATTATTAATTCTTAAACACTAAAGATAATATTTCATAAGAAATTAAACTCTATAATTAAATCATGACTTCCCTTTAATACACTTTTAAATAATATAATATTCTAATTTTCTAACTCAGCTTCAAATACTAATGTCTACAATGCATTCTTATGTACTTTTGCAGAATCATTTTTTTAAAAAAATTATCTCACACCTTATCTCTGAAAAAAATTCGTTTTTTTGCATCTTGTTTAAAGCCTTTATGACTTCTCTTTCCTTTTCCCCTTTCTTTCTTCTCCATTCTAACTTTTTGACCCCCCCCCCGTCTCTCCAATTTCACTCTCTTAGTCTTCCCTCTCTGTTGTATTTCTCTTTTCTGTTGCTTTCTGACATCATATCGCTTTTTCATCTCATTTTTCTTTTTCTTGGTTGCTTTTTTAAGTTCTAAGTTCATCTTTTCCTTGCCCCCCTTCTGCTTTTCTTCCTCCACTAAGTGTGTTTGTCCATTAAAGATGGCTTCTTCTCCTTCATCCCAGCCTTCCTGTCGTTGCATTTCTTGATAGGTAGAAATCGCCATTTCCAAAAAGTGAAAGATAGATCCAGAAGAGCCCTTATCCTCTTTTTTCAGTTTTTGAAATTCCGTTTGTAGTCCTTCAAAAGATAATGCCATTTTTTCTTTCTTTCTTTTTATACGCAACCCTAATGTCTTTAGTCCCTTTTTTTTAAAACAAATTTTCACAGAAATCTCAAAGTCACAAAGCAAACCAAATCAGAACAAACAGTTTCATTTATCACTTTCTTTTTTCTATATTTTCACCTCCTGGGGTAGAATTCAAATACACACTTCCAAGATGATCTTCTAGAAGTCTTAATGTCTTTTAATCCTGTTCTTATAAACTCAAAGCAATCTCCTTCAGTACAATCTTATAATAAGTCTTTATCTCTTCCCTTCCCCTTGTAAAAAATAAAAAGAATTTTAAGGTTTTTTTTAAATCCAATGTCCAGAAATCCTTTATCCCTTGGCTTTAAATTTCAAATTGAGTTACCTTCTGTGCCCAAGTAGATTTTCCAGATCTCCGTCTGCTATTTCTATGAGGAGGGAGAGGGAGAGTGAAGAAAAAAAAATTCCCCCTTAACAGCTTTCACCGCAGCTTTCAGATCTTCTTTGGGAAACAATGTATCCTCAGGCAATTCAAGCAGTTCAGTTTCCAGGGTAATTAAGAGTTGTTATTGTCTGGGCTCAGCCAGCCTTTTCACTTCTCCAGCTTCCTCCAGCACAAATCTTACCCGGCTGCAGGCTTCTTTGTGACGGCCATCACTGACCGCCGCTCCACCACCTTGGGAAAAAGGGGTTTTCCCGGCTGGGGAGGGGGTCTGCGACACCCCCAAACCCCTGTCCGGATCCCCTCTCTCTTTGGCTACCTCTACAGGGCAGCCATATCCCCCAGACCCATTTGGATCGGGGGCACCTTGGCAGCAAGCACAGCAGGAATCGCAGACAGGCGAATTCCTGCTGCCGCCGAAGCCACGCAACACCGGAAGCCCAGCTCAGCCTTAAATATTAAATGTCCATATTGGTAAGCTGGAACTAGCTGACTACAGACAACTTCTTCGTTTTACAAAATAAAATTCTTATCAATGCAAAATGTGCTATTCAAAAACTGAGAAGGGACAATAGAATTTGTAAGAGATAATCCCAATAGCTATCACTTACCATCAAATTGTCTTCCCTCTCACAGGCAATATGAAGAGGTGTCCTTCCACCTTCCTCTGGGACAATATTACATTCTCTGTAGTAACTTTTCGGTGGTCCGGGTTCATTATTCATTTTTATGAAAGATACTGATTCACCAATATCAAACTAGAAAAGGGAATTAATTAGACAACACAGTTGAGGAGCCAAAAATGTTGTTCCCTGTCATTTCCTACAAAGATAAATCAATGGTTGGGGAGTAGAGCATTCTGCCTGTTGTCCCTGGTGTTCAGCCTATCTTCACAAATGATCTCAGTCTATGGACCAAATTCACACTCATCTGGCCTAAGACACAGTGATTAACTGTTCTTAAGATTTAATAAGCGGGTGTTTATTACATTTTCCATATGCCCCATGAGCTGTGTTTATGCATACATAGTTGCTTTATACTAAATCATATTACTAATTAATCTCAAGGCAGCAACTACTTAGTAGTGGTCTTCCACAGTAACAGTTTAAGATGTTACCCTGGTATCCTCTCTAGGAATCTCTTAATCATTGTTGTTCACAGTCAACTCTATTAATTGTCACTTTATAGGGTCCGAGCAATGCAGAAAGTAGTCAGTGAAATTTGCTAAAAAAAAACCTGTCGTATTTCTGTTATTTTCCCTTTTAGTTATTATTTAATATTTTGATCTTATTATGTAAGCTGCCTAGAATTTCTTTGTGACTGAAGTACCATACAAGTTGATAAATAAAATAAGAATATATATTTGAAATGGCTACACTATCTTAATATGTATCATTGTAAACCCACTTGTTAGAAATTGTTCATAAAAACACTATTTCAACATACAGCATGTCATAAAATAATTGCACTATGAATTTTATTTATCACTTTGTCATATACAAGCTGTTTTGGGAGTTTTTTCTTATCTCTTCTATATGGTTTACAGCAGTGGTACTCAACTGGTGGTCCGCAAGAAAATTTTGGTGGTCTGCAGAGAAATGTCCCCCCCACAAGCAATTAATCCAGGCTGTGCAGGAACACAAGGCTGCGCCGCCCACATGGCCCCCACCCTTTGGCCAAGTGCAAACCTTACCTCAAGTAGTGCCACGCAAGCTAGAACTGGAAGGTAAGACAACTGGCAGGGAAGGGAAATCCACTCCGGGATGGCTTGCAGACCTTGGTGAGAAAGTTGTAAACCAGGGGTCACCAACCTTTTGGACCTCAGGGACCACCAAACTCATAATTGTAAATCCCGCGGATCACTAATATGAATTTTGACTGACGGTTGCTTGCTGACATTGGTGGGAAAGTCGGCCCCATATTCCAGAGCTGCAGTAGTCACAAGACTGGCCCTTTGGTCATCCCAGCTCCTCCTCCCAGGTGCACCGGCCTGCCATGGACTGAATGGGCTGCTTCGGGATGACCAAAGGGCCAGTCCTGTGACTACTGCAGCTCTGGAATATGGGGCCGACTTTCCCACCAACGTCAGCAAGCAACCGTCAGTCAAAATTCATATTAGTGGTCTGCGGGATTTACAATTATGAGTTTGGTGGTCCCTGAGGTCCAAAAGGTTGGGGACCCCTGGTTTACAATATAGCACAGGGCTACTCTCATAGAACCTATTGTATAGAAACTGATACTTGGATAGCAAACATGATAAAAGAATACTATTTCAAGTTGGAAAGATAATTGTATAGGCCAAAATTTATAGGTGGAAGAAGCCTCTCTTCCCCCTCTCTGTTTCACTCTCTTTCTCCCTCCCCACCACATCTCTCCATACACCTTGTTGTACTGCTTTTTGCTTGTTATTTTTTATTTCACTATTATTTTGTGTGTGCTCTTCTCTTTGTTCTGATTTATTCAGTAAATAAATAATACCTTCACTGGAATCTTATCTAGTCGGAATATATCGTCCTCGTCTTGTGCCCTGACATCAGGATCTGCAGCAGCATGAAGTAGTAATTCTGTGATTGCAATCCCTTCTACACCAGAAAGGGCAGCAGCAATATGAAGAGGAGCCACACCCCCAAGCTGGGAAAACAAATGCTACATTTATTTCCACAGCAAAGCACAGATTACTATAACACAGGGGTGTCCAACCTTGGCAACTTTAAGACTTGTGGACTTCAACTCCCAGAATTCCTCAGCCAGAATTCTGGGAGTTGAAGTCCACAAGTCTTAAAGTTGCCAAGGTTGGACACCCCTAGTAACATTTCACCACTGTAGGCACTCATTACATTAAATGCTCATTATAATAAAAAGGCAGTCCAGCTTCCAAATGAGCATCTGATCCATATTAGCTAAGTTTTAAGAACTAAAGAGAATGAAACCTTAGGAAATATAATTGCCCAAGTCATTATGATGAGAAATTAAAATTTTTCATCAAATACAATCAACCTTCTTTGTTATACGACAGCTTAATACACTAAAAGTTTCTGAACCAAGCTAGTAAAATGATTAATCAGTAGCAATGAAACAGGAACAGAGAACATAATAGAGTAAACATGCTTTTTTAAATTAAACAAGGCACCATAAACAATTTATGTGCAGCTTAAAGTTGATATGGTTCAAGCATAAATCATTGAAATAAGTGGGTTTCAAATATTTGTCTACTTCTTTAAACAATTATGAATGTTCCATAATACTAGAAGGCTTTAGAAGAGAGATACACTTTTAACAACTTATATTTACAACTTATTTTATAGGGAAAAAAACACTTTTTAATAGACCAATGCAATTTCACTGCAATATCTCATTTTGATACCAATTTTGAATTAGAGATCACCCACTAGGCAATGTCCATACAATACATAGCTCTGAGAGTGAGACGGGTAATCTCTAAATTTGATAAATAAAATAAATGAAAACTTATACACTAACTCAGTCACTACTCACACGAGACTAAATAAATTCTTTTTATTTGTTACCAGATTCAGAAAACAAAAACAGATTTCATAAGTATGTAGCAAGCTAACAAACTCTTAGTTGCGGGCTACATTTGTGATGCACACTGGAAGAATGAAAATTTATATCAGAGCTTTTACATCCTATTGTAGTTTAAAACTGTAGTTTTTAACTGAGAACACTATCCCATAAAAACAAAATATCCTACTCTGGTTGGAAGTCGTATGTCAGTCCTTGCTCCAGCTTCTAGAAGTATTTGCACAACTTCTGCATCGGCGGATTTAACAGCAAAGAACAGTACATGCATTGGGATGTTGGAAATATTTGGGTCAGCACCTCTCCTTAGGAGCGCTTTAATTATAGACATTCTCTTTTTTTGTCTAAAATCCAGCAGAAAAAAGACCCATGTCAATACCTAAAAACTGAAAACATTAGTATACATAATGCTACGCAAGCAGATAAAAAGTTCTATAACCAGATATTCATCCTCTGATGCCCAATATTAGGAAGATATGAGGGTTGGTGGGGTTTTGTTTTTGTTTTTGCAGGCTCTCCTAATTGATGGGATGCAGGTAACAAAATGATAGTTTACATGCTTATTTTCTAAATAAGAGAGCTCGGCCTGCACTATTATTAGCATGTTTAAGGTAAAACTGGGCTTTATTCATGCTTGTGACATACTGGTCAAAATTGCATAACTGGAATAGTATCCTAATCATTACCAAGGAATATTGTATTTTTCTTGATAAAGATATTACATGACAGCTTCAATTGACAACAGCCATACAGGAAGTCCTCAATTTACAACCAATTGCTCAGTGACCGTTTGAAATTACAGCAGACTCTCCAAAAGATAGGAACACACAGGTTAATAATAATAGTTATATACTAGGTTAATACAGAATGGTGAAAATGAAAGAATCAGAATGAATTTTGGAGCAGGGGAATGGGCAATATTCTGAATGAATATGTTCCGGGGAGGAAATCATTCCAAAAGAATATTAAATGTATGGGTAGAAGCAAGAAAAGAAAGCATGGCTTAGAACAGAGCAAAAAGGACTAACTACACAGCAACACTGAGGTGTATAGAATAATGAAAATAGTAAAAATGAAAAAGGATGAACTGAAAGAGACTATGGAAGAATGCTTAAAGAGAAAGGTTGCTGCAAACGATAAAAATAAGAAAAAGACACAGCTTAATGTGTGTACATTGAGAAAAAAGGTAATTGCAAAGAATAAAGTGAAAGAGAGCAAGCAATGTTAAGATTTAAAAAGACATAAAATACAAAGTGATTTTTATGGAAACAAAAGCTGTTTTTGAAGTGAGCAAAGAGAGCTAAACAAATTGACACAAAATTGGAACCATTAACATTATCTATTCAATATTTCACACCATATTCAGAGTTTGCAATAAGTTCGAATTATAATACCACTAGCTCGATACCAGTGCTTCGCTACGAATATATGTGGTCGGGTTTAGTTTTTGGGGATGAAAATAGGGGGGGGGGTTCTGCCTCTGCCTACCAGCATCCATCGGTATTCATCTGGCTAGCGTCCTGTCAGTGAGAGAGTTGAGGGCTGTTTAGAAACTGAAACAGTATTTACTGTATGTGCAAGGAGATAGCAAGGGGCCTGGGCATGTCTTAGCTCAACTATTCTGTACTAAAGTTGCTTGCTGCTGTGAAACTAAAACTGAAACTCCTCTCCTCTGCTTGTGTTTTGCATTTGGAACAGATTTCTTTTCAGGTGGGGAGGGGGAGTAGAACTCCTTAGCATCAGAGCGTGTTACTAATAATATAGGAAATACTAATGCTCTTATGGTCATTTTGAAAAATCCTTTCTTAGGGAGCACCTAGAAGCCAAGAGGAACATACGTGCCAAATTTCAAGTGTGTAGGCTTTACAGTTCTGGAGATTTTGTGATTATGTGTGAGTGTTATTTCACTTTTATATATATAGATTACCAAGTAATCAAAAAGTTTTGCAGTATTGCGAGCAAGTTTTTATCAGTATATTGCTTGATTTTCATAAGAGTTCCTTCAACCTTTATTCATAGAAATGTCTTACAAAATTAATTAACCTCTTAACTACCTTCAGAAAACATCTAGCACAGGGATTGCTTTGACCATGGTATTTCAGATGATTCATCTATGGTCTCCTAAAGTCACTTACTCTGTTAATGATGCTGCCATTCTCCTTAAGGTGCCTTCCTGATGAACAGAGTCCCCAGTATCTGGGTAACACTGAGTTTGTAACATATGGTGGCTAAGAACAACTGCACCATGATGCATAGTTTCTGGAGAAATCTTAATTTTGTAGTTGTAAATACCACAAATTGTCCCAGAGCTCTTTTCTCCATTGTCTGTTTCCTCCGATGACTTAATTTCAATATCTGGGATAAATTCTGTCTTTTCAACTGAGACTGACAATGCTTCAACGGATGGGGGTGTGGTAGCATTTGTACTTGCTTCAGATAATTGAGATATATCTGACCGTGATAATGCTACAGATTCTTTAGACATTTCTTCAAGGATGTTTTCTAACTATATAAAGTAGGAAAAAAATCACTTGTAAAACTAACAACTATATCTTGACAGGAAGACAATATATGATTAGGATATGTTTTTAATGTTCAGATACATATGTCTCTATAAACAGGTTGTTATGCAAGCTAGTAAAGAAGTTAGGTAACGTTCTACCAAAATTTTGCAAAGGTGATTTTATTATATCACCTTTTCCTCCTTGCTTCCTTGCTTGCTTCTTGCTTTCTTGCATCCTTCCTTCCATCCATCCATCCATCCATCCATCCATCCATTCATTATGGAACTCAAGTAATCTCCTATCCACAAATACTAGCCAGACTTGGATTTGGCCAATTTGCAGCTTCATATGACTTCAGACTACGCTTATCAGTTATACCACTAGATTACAGACAGCAAGAAAATGATGTTTAACTGCTATTTGGTTTTTGAAAACAAAACGTTTAAAAATCTGAAGTATGTTTTAAAAAAATTTCAATAAGCACTGGCTGTACTTTACATTATAAAACTAAAAGTGAGAGAAAGGACGCTTAGGGACCAATCCCTATAGAGGATATGTAATCCAAGCTTTTAGGGATTTAAGACAGAGCAGTAGAGCAAATACCACAATACACAGAAATAAACATTTTAAGCAAAGAACATTTGGAATTGTAGGTAACTCCATTCCTATTGGATGTAGCTTAGCAACCAAATTAAACCCATATTAGCAAATTTAACTTTCATTTGAGAAATGCAGTTTCACAAACATAAAGACCCAAGGCAACTTCAAAAGGGAAATCCAGTATCCACTGAACTTAGTACAATAGCAACAAGTGTAAATACAAATCATGGGGATAAATTTACATCTTTACCTCTTCATTCCATACAATCAGGACAATTCAGTTAAGTGCATGCTCTCTGTATCGAAAATGAAAAGTGTGAAAGATCTTGCTGAAATTAACTTCAGATTTACATATTATGAAACACTAACCTCTTTTGAAAAGATATTCCTTTCGGCAATATTAGGCTGAAATCCTTCTGCAGGGAAATAATGAATCATACACATAGACAAAGTTGATAATCCTTCATCACTGCATTTATTCACGTCAGCTCCACAATCTAGAAGAAGGTTGATGATGTCTTCTTGATAATTCAACTGCACAAACAAACTATTTCAGTTATTTTCACAAAGTTTTTTTACACTGTGCATATTTTGAGATTATGGATTTGATTTCTTCAGTGAATATGTATGAGTTTATCACTCCTTGTCTGGTGTTCCAAATATATTTGGATTACGATTCCAATAATGTGTAGATTACATGTTAGTTGGACATTCTAGATCAGAGGTGGCATTGAGCAGGTTCTAACCAGTTCTGGAGAACTGATAGCGGAAATTTTGAGTAGTTCGGAGAACCAGCAAATACCACCTCTGACTGGAGATTTTACAGTATCCTTTCCCTGCCATACCCACCAAGCCACACCCAAGGAAACGGTAGAAAAAAAAATTGAATCCCACCACTATTCTAGATGTCATAATCTAACCAGTTCTATAAGGTATGAAACTGGGGGAAAGTTGTCTACAGTGACCGTACAGTGACTATTCTTTCATATTTTCAACTGCTGTTGATAAATAGCATAAATTCTTTCAAATTGCTCAATAACTGTAATAATCTCTGACTTTTTACAAAGATGCCTAACATGCTGAAAGTAATTAAGCTGGAGGTGATCTAACTACAAAGATTCTTGAAGATTCTTGATTATTTAGGTTCAGTTTAGACTAGGTTCTAGCCTGATTATATGTACATTACCAACACAGCATCTTTGGTTAATTCGGTCTTCTAGACATTTTAAAATCATCAGGACACCCTGCACTCACATTTTCAGCTGGTGGTTAAAAAGATGGTCCATCTCTGCAGTGACACCTGCCCTATGGAGTAATGCAAGGGCCCAGTGCTGATCTATTAAAGAGTAAGTTGTTTGTCTCTAAGTGGAGGATAATGGATGGGTTAATAATTGATTCCATGACTTTACAGGTGACGTAGCATAAGGAGATTGGTCTGTAATTTTCAACTAGGCTGGGCTCTCCCTTTTTGAAGATGGGGATGACCGTGGCTTATGACCATAGGTTTGGCAAGGAGATGGTCCTGAAAGATTTTTCAAAGATTATGCTTAGAGGTTCGGCTATGGCAGTGATAGCTTTTTTAAGAAATAGGCACATATTCTGCCTGGTCCAATAGAAAGAGATGGTTTTAGATTGTGTAGTGCTTTTTCAACATTGTCTTCTGTAAAATCGATATGTATTAGATCATTGTAGTTGTCTGTGGTTCGACTAGGAAATACTGGGCATGATCCATTGCTGTTTACAAATACTGAGCCGAAGAATGTGTTAAAGAGGTTTGCTTTAATGGTGTCGTTGTTGCACTCTTTACCATTAGGTCCTATCAGGGGTGGGATGGACCTTGAGTCTTTTAGTTTGTTGTTTACAAAATTGTAGAAAGCGTGGGTGGAATTGATGCGTAAGTTTTCCTCTTGTTTAATGTGATAATTGGTGCATTCAGTCTTTATCTGGTGGCATAAATTTTTGTATCAGCTTTTGAAGTTGGCAATGTGACCAGATTTGTTTTTCTGCCAAAGTGATTTCTTTTTGGATTGAAGCTTCCTTATTGTTATGGGTAATTTGTTTTTTCTGGTTTGGGGAGTTGTTATTGGTACATATAGTTTGATGACTCTTTTGACTTCAAGTAAAAATATGTTGTAATGGTCTTCAACAGTATTGCATCCAGTGAATAGAAGTTGCCAATCAAGAGATGAGATCGTCTATAAGATCGTAGTTGCCTTTTTTGAAGTTATAATTGGGGATCCCATCATTGTGATGATTTTTGTGAGGACGTATGTTGAGACAAAAGTCAATCATGGTGTGGTCACTGTTGGAAAAGGGTTCTTTAATTTGTATTCCGTAAATTGAATTCAAACTATTGCAGAAGATGAGATCGAGGCAGTTGTTAAGTCTAGTATTGTTAGTTACTAGTTGTTCCAGTCCTAGATTTGTTACAGCATTGTAGAAGGTTGCATGTATGGGTTCAGTTTTACATTCGTTTAGGGTCCAGTTAATTATGAGGTAGATTGAGATCACCAAGAAAGATAAAAGAATGTGGGCAGGATGTTGCTCATGTTAGTAGTGAATTTAACTTGTTTGCATGTTCAATGTCATAATCAGGGGCTCTGTAACATAGTAAGAATCAAAATGTGATATTTAAGGACAGTTCACAGACGGTCTCAGGAAGAGCAAGCTCCTGGGTGAACTTGGATGTATTTTAGATGTAGGGACTTTTTATAGAAGATAGGAACACCACCTCCTCTACAGATTTCACGATCTGATCGGTAAACATGATAGTCTCTTATTGTGGTAATGGAGTCAGGAAGAGATGTGTTGAGCCATGTTTCACAGACAAATATGATGTCGAATTTAGCCGTATTTAGTAAGAGGAGAAATTCAGGTATTTTATTTACAAGGCTTCTTGCACTGAGTAGCTTGCATTTAAGGCCAGTTTTAGTTGGAATAGAGGTAGTTAGGGGTGTGCGTGCCTAGTTTTGAGTGATGGTGGATTGGATGGGGTAGGGTTGGATGCGGAGTTGTGGGTTGTGTGACTTTCTTTTGATGCAATCAGCACGGTAGTCAATGTACAGGTCCTTTTCTCCCTTGTCTAGATGGTTTTTGAGTTCTTCACGGAGTTCATGGGAGCGGATTCTTTGCAGTATGGATAGGTCTGGTCTTGAGCGAAGTTTTTTATGGCGTTTATTGTATGAATGAATATACGTTTGCTGGACTCATTTTTGCAAACAACTCTACAAAATCTTGGAGCCACAGAGCCGTCATTGTATTTGAACTCAGGGCCATCTCTGATTATTTCAATATCTTCAGGAGAGATGTTTGTTGTATTTGAGTTGCTTATGATATTGCGAACTTTTGTTTATAACCATGCTTTAATCCCATATTTATAGCCACTGTAAATCATTTTAGGATTAAGAATGTACAAATACTATAAACAAACATATTTTAAATGGTACAATATTGTCACAATACAAAACAACCCTGAATTTAGCTGCACTTTTACCCACCCTTCAAGGTTTACCATGCCTGAAAGCATAATATATAGTAAGAACTTACAGCAGCAGCAGAAAGAGCTGTATATCCACTCATATCTGCTATATCAGGATGGGCCAGATTTTCCCTCAGAATTTCATAAACTCTTTTATAGTTTCCTTCTGCTGATTTCTCAATCAGTTCTTCAGCAATAAGCTCTTTGGGACCTTTAGCTCCAAAACCGTACCGATTGCCTTTGATAATAGCATTAATATTCCACTCTATGTCACTCTGGCAATGCCTGAAAGTAAGCAAAGCCATAAAAAGCTAGAAATACAATAGAAGTACAGTTTTGTTGTTACATGCTAGTTAGATGGACAGATAAGACACAATGTTTTTTTCCCCTTACTTCTTCTTATCAAACTTTGCTCTAATGCTGAGTGAAATGATAATTCTGGATTTTACTACAGACTGAAGATATGAAAAATCACAGGACCAAGTATCCCCCTTCATTCAATATTCTATCTGCATAAAAAAATATTCCCTCTCAACAGGAAATTAACTAAGATGGGGAAAGGATTTAATCTTGCTCTCTCATGAGTTCATTTATTTAATATGAAGAACAATTGATCATGTAAATGATCATTTTCAATCTAAACAGGTAAAGATAAACAAACATTAATCATCCAAATAAAGAAAGTTTTTTACTGTTCCACTGTTTGGGGAAAAAAAGGTAAGAAAATGGCTGCAGGAGCACATAAGAATAAATCCTATGTGCCTATGCTCATACACATGCACAAATATTTATACAGGATTTTTTATTATTTTCTCCAAATGACCATTTTACAGTACTAGAACTAAACAATTAGTTAAACTAAATGCAAATAAGTTGAGGGCCAATTAAAAAGTACTTTTTAAAAACAATACAGCTAGGGAACTTCATGCCATAAGATCAAGTGATGGCCGCCTATTTAAACTTTAAATTTAAATTTTAAGAGGTTCAACAGACTCATATAAAATATTAGTTATCTTTAGTTATTAATCTTCATAGCTCCTGAAGCACAGAAAGCTTCTAGTTGAAAGTGGATGTAACCCTCCCCACCTTGTTTGTGAATTTCTCAAATCCTCTTAAGTTGCTACAGTGTGTCACATAATGCTGGACTAGATTGGATCTCTCCCTTTCTACAGACTCTTATTTGTTATGTTTCTCTCTCTCTCTCTAAGCCTCTGCCCAATCTTCTTAAACATTAAACTAATTAAAAATAATTAAACATTAAGATAAATATAAATAAAAGTACTTCTGATAAATGGAATTTGGATGGGGTTAGAGAACCGGTAGAATCAATCAATCAATCAAGATTTCAAATAATATTTTAAATAATATTTTTGAGTACCTGATAAGTAGTACCCCCAGTAGGCACAAAGAAAAGGAATGAGCAAAATAATCACTTGTACAGGCTTTTGAGGAAGAATTAAGAGGGTAAGTAAGAAAGAAGGTATATTTCATCAGCTGTTGAAAGGATAGAACGAAGCATATGGTATAAGCTTTGAAACATACTTAACTGAATTGTATAAGCTATTCAGTTGAAAAGAGATATGAAAAATCAACAGAAAATAAATTTTCAACTACATTTTCATGTTAGCAATTATCAGTTCTTACCTATACTTATATATGTTTTTCTGCATCTTAACCAGAATAGGGGTTATGTTTGTTATACGCCATGGTTTTTCAGAAGCGTGATGTTTTCGTTTCTTAAAATATTGAAAATCAAACTCTTTCAAGAAGGATTGTGTAAGAGGAAGATTATCTGCATCAATTGAATATATATACATATTAGCAGGCAGCGTATAGTTGTCATCATTTAGGAGAAGGCGTTTGAATCTGTAGAAAAATGGATCCTTTTCTTCATTCAAGTCCCATATAGAAGTGCTTTCCTCTGAAATATATTGCTGTTTAGACTCAGCATCAAAATAGATACTGAGTTCTGGGAAATCAAAAAGAGTAAAATGCTCAGGAATTTGTGTACATAGTTTAATAATATGGTGTCGATGCCACAGGCCAACATCTTGCCTATCATCTGGATAAGTTTCAATTCCTGGTCCAAAACGTTCATCAGACTTGTAAAGCCCCTTTAGAGGGAAAAAAATGTTCAAAAACAAAAGAAGATATGACAGAATAATATAGACAAAATACAGAAAAGAATGCATCTTTAATTTATTTGCGTGCTTATTTATTCAAGGAATACTAAAAAATTTAAAGGATTAGCAATACTATGAAAGAAATCAGCAGTCTATAACCCTGTAAATAAATGAATAAATTTTGCACTACTCTTAAAACCATCCATAGCCTTGAAAAGAAACAGGTTTCTCAAATATTTATTGAACTTATTCATTTCACAAACATGATAGTATAGTGTTACTATTAGAATTCATAATTTAATATTATTGATAGAACAGAATAGAATTCTTTATTGGCCAAGTATGATTGGACACACAAGGAATTTGTCTTCAGTTCATAAGCTCTTAGTGTACATAAAAGATGTAAGTGATAAATCATGATCATAGTCATCATAAATACACTCATTATGAATCATAAGATACAATGCTTAGTGATAGTTATAGGATACTAATAAGCATTCAAAACAGGGGTGGGCTGCTGGGGGTTTGCAGGGGTTTGGGAGAACCCCTAGCTAAGATTCTGTACAGTTCGGAGAACCCCCAAATCCCACTCCTGGCTGGCCCTTCCCACCCCTCCCCTCCCAGGAGTCTCCATGTGGCCTGTTTTGGATGCAGGTAAGTGCAGGGCGCACACGGAGGCTCGGGGAGGGTGAAAATGTTTGTCCCGGAAGTTCGAGGAAAGCCTCTGGAGGCTGGGGAGGGCAAAAACATCCCCCTCCATGGTGCAGGAAGCCGACTAGGCCAGGGGTCTCCAACTTTGGCAACTTTAAGACTTGTGGACTTCAACTCCCAGAGTTCCTCAGCCAGCTTTGCTGGCTGAGGAACTCTGGGAGTTGAAGTCCACAAGTCTTAAAGTTG